ATCACTCTGGGCTACAAACTGGGTCAACTATTTAGAATAGCCACATTTGGGAAACTGCTAATGTTTAATCCTTTTCAGGGAATTGGACATTCATTACTATATTTTGATGTTGATGGCTTTATATCCAAGACTAAGCAGAGCCAAGCAATTAAAAATGATCACAACAGCAGGTTTTCAGGGAAAGAAGAAAAAATGCTAAAGGAGACTGTAAGTTGGAATAGAGAGAATTGCCTTAATAATAAAAAAGCAAGGGATCATAAATCTAAATCCTGTATGTGTGCGTGTCCCCGTGCTCACCATTCAGGTTTGGTTTAGCTGGTCTTTCTGAACGACAGTGCAAGTTATATTCTCCTGCTATAGGATTCTACACCTCACATACCTCTCCCACCATAATAATCATAATGCATGATTTTGATGTTTTTTTATAATGTTTACCTTTTTTTACAAAAAGGTAAGGACAGCAATTTTTCTGTGACACCATCCCCACTCTATTCCCAGTACTAATCTTGGAAGCTGACATGTTTGGTTTGTAAATATGTGTTGAACGAACTCTTCCTCTAAGACTAACTTTTGATACTTATTGTGCGCTCTCTTAGCAAGCCAAACTTCTCATTTGCAGCAGGACTTCCAATTAGAATTGTTGGTTGATTTCCTGTCTATCCTGTTTGGGTGGACACTCCACGATGGCAGGGACCACATTCTGTTACCTTCTTCATCCCTCATGCCTGGCATGATCGTAGGTACTCACACATTTGGTAAACGATTGAGTGATTAAATGACTGAAGCAGAGAAGGGAAGAAGCAGAGGAGGGAAGAAGGAAGAGATGCAGTGTGACGGGAGAAAAAAGAAAGGAAAGAGAAGAGAAGAGAAAGTAGAAGAGAAGAAATACTGAATATAAAAAATCCTCTTTGGGGAACTTTTCCTGAATATTCACTATGTGGTCTTTTCCAAGGATGAACATGAATGATAAATGTAGCTTTTGCAAGGAAGGGACCTTCTAATACTCCTAGAAAAATCAGCTTGGCACCTGGGCTTGGGATAGAGTCAGAAGGAACAAAGAAAAACCTTATTATTCTAAATGAAATAACTTAAAAATGAAATAGCAATTAAGAGTAACTATAAGGAAACTTCAGTCCTCATTAATAGTCAGGCCAGGATGTATGCTTATAGTCAAGGACAACTTTTGGAGAAAATGAATAAGATGTGATTAAGGAATGTTAAGACTGATGCAATTACCTGGATCCTTGCATTTTTTACTTTATTGCCAATAGTTCCTTTCTTTAAAAGCTATAACATATAAGAAAAAGCATAGATTTTTGAGATTCACTTTTATAGGACTTTTTGATCAAGGCTTTATAAATAGCTCTCTTGGAATCTATTGTAATGGATGGCAGAAATGCATATTTAAGACTGTATTAAAAATGCTTTATTGACCCAGTAGACTGGAAGGAAGCTCCAAGTCTCTTTGTAAATCATTGACAAGAGAGACACTAATGGATCTTTAAGCATGTTTTGGTCAAGGAGTGCAAAATGGCTCCTTGATTTGTTTATGCTTGAGATTAAACAAATTGCCATCCTCTCTCTCCCAGGGCTCTGGGGTATGTAGCAGACAGACAAATGTAGAACAAAGGAACAAATCCTGGGCAGGAGAACCATGTTTGAGGCAGTACTGCAAAATGGGTAAGATCACAGATTCAACAGCTGCACTGCTGAGATTTAAGTCCTGGATTTGCTGCTTCCTATTATTTTCCATTCTATACTTCAATTTCTCATCTATAAAACGTGGATGATAGCATCAACTTTATAGGGTTGTTGTTTCAGTCTGTTTTGTGTTGCTATAATAGAAATACCTGAAACTGGGTAATTTATAAATTAGAGAGGTTTATTTGGCCTACAATTCTGGGACAGCTGCATCTGGCACTGGCCTCAGGTTGCTTCTACTCATGGCAGAAAGTGGCAGGCAGCCGGCAGGTACAAGCAGATCACATGGCGAGAAGAAGCCAGAGAGAGAGAAGCAAAAGAGAGAGAGAGAGGAGGTGCCAGGGACTTTTTAAACAATCAGCTCTCTCAAGAACTAATAGAGCGAGAACTCACTCATTAATCCCCCCCC